GGTGATAGGACAGCTTTTCAGAGTTGTTGGAGAGATGAATCTGCTTGTTTAGCTACTGGAGATTCTGTGTTTTTCCTAAAACAGTATGTCTGGCCGTGCATAGAGAGCACTTGCACTGCGTGGCTGGGTGGTATAATGGAAAGAGCACTGAACTGGAACTTAGGAGATTTTAGCTCTTTTAGTCCCTTCTCTGCCTCTACCAGCTTCACAACCTTGTACAAGTTACTCACTGGTCAAATGATAGTATAGAGGCAAGAGGAGGAAGCCAGGTTGGCAGATCGTGACAAAAAATGAACTAGATGAACTAGATGAACTCCCTTCCAGCTCTAAAATGCTGTGATTCTTATGTTGATTAAAGAAAGGAGCAACTGCATCTCTTTTGGTTGATAATTCGTTGATTAGAATGAAATTACTTTTTAAAGGCTGACAGAAACAAAGAATAAGGACTTGGTATATTTTAAAGTCACATTTCAACTGGCTACCTAAATGCAAGGGTTTGACTTTGCTTCCTCCCAATGAAATTCATTTGCACAGATGATTTGGAATTGAAGAGTACTCTTTAGTTAGAGAATTCCAATTTAGACTGCTTTCATCCTACTTCTGTTAAGTATATAAGCTTATATTTATCTGATAGATTTAGGGGACAATAAAATTAATTTTGTTGAGCTCCCACTATGTGCCAGGCACTCTACATACATCTTACTTATTCTTTATTGAGAGACAGTATGGTGTACTAGGAAAAGCAAACACATTGTAGTCAAGAATGAGAATCAAATTCTGGATTTACCACACAATAGCTCTGTGTCCTTGGTCAGATTATTTAACATTACTGAGTCTCAGTTTTCAGAAAAGTGTTTTGATACTTTAAAAATGTATTATTATCTGAGATGCTGACTGTAGCAATGTTACACTTAGGCTAACTAGCTAAAAGAACTAGCTAGTTACTTGAGGAATGGAATCACGTTTCTTTCTTGAGCTCCTGGAGAAACTACTTTTCAACACAGGGGAAAAATCACTTTGCATTTCATCCACATATGTTGTTAAATATTTGTTTGCAGAGCGCTGTGTTGTTTGCTTTGCTCATTCCTGAGAGTAATCCCAGGGTTTGTTGTAATCTCTGGTCAAAAACGATTTCTCTTGGATTTTAGTGGCAAAGAGGTAGGACTGAAGTTTATGTGTTGATTAACAATATATATTGCCATGAATTCTACAAGGGCCACCAAATGTGGAAAAGCCATTGCTGTGGTCTTTGTTTACAAAACGTTTCTTCACCCCCTCTCACAGGGGCCTATGCTTGAATTGTCAGTCCTTTGTTGGAGTTCGTGTTGATCATCCACACCCACCTATCACAGTCCTGCGACCATGAAGACCCATTTGTTTCAAGTAACAGAACTAACTGGTTTAGAACAGTAGCTTTAAAACTTTTGTGTATTGGAGAGAAACTCCACTATATAAGTGCAATCGATTAGGAAAATCAGGCTATTTTTTTAAAAAATCAGGCTATTTTTATGGATACCAAATTTTCCCAGAGGGTAGCTGTAGGCTTGCAGCAACCCATGCAGTTTATTTCTGTATATTATCTTCCAGAAAATCCTGATTCACACAGATAAAAATTTTTAAATGACAGATTTTTATTAACAGATGATCCTGCAGTCTCTGGATATTTTTCATTCAAATTGATCCAGAAACTGGGAATAAAATGCAGAGAAAATTTTGGTTTCACAGTTTAATCACTATTCATGTCTTATTTAAATATGAAAATCAGATAAGAAGCAGCCAAAACAGAGTAAGCACTAAAGCTGTCTAAAATGTATGGTTGTCACGATGAGACACGTTATGCATGTTCTTGTTGTTGTACAACTAACTAGTCTCCTTTCGCCAAGCAGATGAGCCTGAGCCTTGCATGCTTTCTGATCAAGCACAGCCCACGGGTTGAAGTGGTGTCAGTACTTCCTTACACAATTTTCCTTGAGTCAACATGTGCAGGCATGAATTTATTGAAAGACCTGTGCAAAGCTTCCACTTTCATAATCCATGACGCATTTACAAGAACTTGAAACATATTCAGAGGGATGGCAGGAGAAGCATTATTCCTGAGGGCTGTAAAAAAGTGAATGAACCAAGCCATTTAAGTTAGTGATTTGGTGGTCTTCCCTGGGATAGAGTTTGCTATATAAAACAGTTGCTTGTATACATTGTTGAAAGACCTCTTAGAGTGTATTAAGAAGATGGCCTCTACCAGGATTTTTTTTTTAGGTTTTCTTTTTTTTATTGAAGTATACTTGATTTACAATGTTGTGTTAATTTCAGGTGTATAGCAGAGTGATTCAGTTATATATATACATATATAGATTCTTTTCCCTCATAGGTTATTGTAAAATAGTTCCCTGTGCTATACAGTAGGTCCTTGTTGGTTATCTGTTTTATATATAGTAGTGTGTATATGTTAATCCCAAACTCCCTCCCTCTGCCACTTAATATTTTTAAAATCTTAGGCCAGTATTTTACTTCTCTAAGTCTCAGCTTTCTCAGTTTGTAAGATGGGCATAATAAAAAACTTACCTGAGGACAGATATACACTACCAAATGTAAAATAGATAGCCAGTGGGAAGCAGCCACATAGCACAGGGAGATCAGCTGGTGCTTTGTGACCACCTAGAGGGGTGGGATAGGGAGGGTGGGAGGGAGGGAGATGCAAGAGGGAAGAGATATGTATAACTGATTCACTTTGTTATAAAGCAGAAACTAACACACCATTGTAAAGCAATTATACTTCAATAAAGATGTTAAAAAAAACTTACCTGATAAGGGATTAAATGAGATACTACAGATAAAGTGTTTAAATGAGATACTACAGATAAAGTGTTTAGCATAGAGCCTGACATTTAGGAAGCTACTATAATTTTTCTTTGTTACAGTTAAGATAGTTAAATGTATTTTAGAAAATGAAAAGTGATTTGTATGTTTGTGGTATACAATTTGAAAATGAATAGCCTAGAGTACTTCAAGGTCCATATTACCTGACATCTGACTGTAACCCTTTAGGAATAAGTTGAGTAGACTGACTGTTTTACCAGAAAATGATCTTTTGGCCCACCTACGTTTGTCATTCTTTTCTCAAGTAACTGCTTATCCCTCAAGTAACCAATCTTCTTCCCATTCACAAAGGACTTTGGAATAGGATTTTCCACGGATTTATTACCACCCAATCCCTTCTCAGCCACTTGACATTTAGTTTTTATTCTTTATTAGGTTTTTTGTTGTTGTTGGCTGGGTTTTTTTTTTTTTTTTGCCCCCTAGTAAGTTGACATAAAAAAAAACCTATTTTAGTAGAATGATAGGCTCAAAAGAAGTTGAGAAGAGAATGGGTGGTGATGATTTACCAACGTAAAATACCATTCCAGAATCTGTTCCACGTGCATCCTTTTTGATCTCCCTGCAATACTGTATTTGATATTGTTGACCACTTCTTTGAAACTCTTTCCTAAGCAGTCTCTTGCTTCTCTTGCCTCTCTTTTGTTTCATTTCTGTTATTTTATTAACATACTCATCTCATACCTTTTCTTCCTTGCATTCATACCCAGGCCCCCAACACTCTCCCTCCAGTAAATATCTGCCACGTCCAGTTGATTTTAGTCTTCTCACATATGTTCAGTCTTCTCACATATG